AGAGAGAGAGAGAGAGAGAGAGACTGCGATGAATGGATAGGTATGACCACCAAAGAGATAGGATAGGGATAAGGGGGCTGTGGCTAGAAGTGGTTGGTCGGGGCGCTACACAGCATAGACAACAGTGGGAAAGGGATGGGAGGAACGGGATGTCTAGTCGTGGTGGTGGTGCGGGTCATGCATACAGTGAATGGGGAGAGAGAGAGAAACTCCACACAAAAGTAGGGTATCCTATGGTTAGGAATACAAGTGGTATAGCATTGGGAGAGCGCCTGTAGTGTGGGCTATAGAACGCAGGGTTTTTCCCAAACACACGTAAAATACACGACAACACCACCAGTGAGTGAAGTGTATGTGCGCTGAGCACTGGTAGCTCTCTGTGAGACACTCATAGCCTATGCCAGTGGTTGTCCGCGTAATACCTGTGCGCCCGACGACGTGCTAACCATTCGTCGCAATCATACAGTAATAGCCATTAGTTTTGTGGCGATTGGCCACCGATTGCAGTGTCTGTGCTTCACGTCAATTGGTGTTTGTTTTGGTGGTCATTATCATCCGCTCACGAGTGGCACGCAGTCGAGCAGTGTGTAGTGTGTGAGTCATACGCGCAGACATCACCACAACTGGTCCAACCATATCCACTGTCTGTTTGTGTTCACTGTCTTAAGTGTGGTGTGAATGGCGCTTAAGATATACAGTATATCACCAATGATTTGATTGACTAAACGCTTAATTATTACAACTATTTATTTATTATGACATATATTTTTAACTAATTATTAATTAATTAATTATTACTGTTACTGATAATGTTGTGAGACGTGCTTGATACAAATTATTATATATATTTTTAATTAATTATTAACTATTATTATTATTATTACCACAACTGTTGATAATATATACAAACAGTTGTCAGAAATTGACACAAATTTCTTATTATTGGATACCATTTGGAGATAATATTTAAGACACGAATGGCTGACAATCGGACAAAACGTTCAGCGACTAAGTCAACGGCTCAGCCAATGGCCGCCAAATCGGACCCTCAAAAGTGGAATATTCCTCCACAGCAGCGGCCATTGTCGTCGTCATCATCGACCACACCATCAGCACCACTGATAAGTTCAAAGACATCGGCGGCCATCGACGCGCTCTTCGACTCGGGATACGACTCGCAAACGGTGAGCAAGTCGTCCATCGACTTCGACGCCGACTTCGACAGCAAGTGTGTGATATCGGACGCCAAGAGCACGTCCTCCGTGTCCGCCACCACTACCACATCGGTGGCCGATATCGACCGCAAGAGCGCTGAGCACAAGTGGTCCGATTCGGGCGTTTCCATCGCCACTGATTCGGGACTCAATTTGGACGAAGAGTTCGCCGATCAGAGCGAAGAACTGATCCAAGTTATAGCGGTCGCGGATCTGTTGCCGGTATTTGTATTGGAAGGTCGAGTCGGATGAGTTGTATTGGCGTAAGAACTCTTTGAATCGGCGTTTGATGGCAGCCGTGTTGATGGCGCCGGTGGGCACGCCATTGGCGTTGTTGCCATCGATGTCGCCGTTCAATAGGTTCTCGTTGAAGAAGACGCCCAAGTCGTCGAAGCCGGCCATTGATGGGATCTGTTGGGGTGATGATCGGCGGTGAGGTTGTGGTGATAGTGAGCTATATATACATACAGTATATACCGGTTAGTGGTGATAGTCTTGAGGTGTGGTGTAGGAGCCGGTGGTGATGATAGTCACGTTGTTTGAGGTGATCGTTGGATCCGATTGGGGTTAAGAAGTGTGTTGTGTGGCCACTGGTGGTGATGACTACTCGTGAGTTGTGGTGATAATTGTCTCGATGTGTGCTATGAATGGTTAGACAATAGGTTTTGTCGCATAAGACTTGACAACAAAAAAACTTTTAACTGTTAAAGGGATGGAGAAAAACGCGGGATTTTATTATCCACACAAACGTGCGCCTAAACGGCGTAAATAGTACTCGCGTTATGCGAGCGGTTAAGCCCTTTTAGAAGTTTTTCATTATATAGTGAATAACGTCTAATAATTTAGTTAAGGGTTGTTTTGCGAGAAATTGTATTAAATTATGTGTGTATGTTGTTAACGTGTAAATTGTTTATTAATTAATTAATCATGATTATTTTACAATTCACCTTGCTTTTAGAAATGTTTATAAATATTTTTATATAATTTAATTCAAATAATAACTAATCAAAGGGGAGGCCTTATATGAGTACATAATTTATGAACACGTATTTAAAGTTCAATTAAAATCCAGTCATAATTAAAGTGCCAAAACTGGTGTCCCGGGGGGAGCGGGAGGGAGACTACGGGTGATATAATTAATTAATTGAACAAGCTATAATAAATAAGGTTAAAACGATTGAAAATATAGCGAATGTTAGCAACGAGAGGGCTGGCAGTCCGGGGGGAGTCGTGTCGTTGTGTACTAATTAAGGGCAAAAGTTTTGACTCAAAACTGATGGTTAAAGTAGTTTTATGGCCACAAATAACAGTCGTATTCGTGATTAACACGTTTACTAACATTGCGTGTGATATGCGACTGATAGAGGACAGGGAGATCACTGTCTTATGGTATGGTATGGGACGGCATGTGTGAGTGTGAGTGAGTAAGACGTATGTAGCGTATCATTGAGATGAGAGAGAGAGAGCACAGGGAGATTGGATGCAACAGTTGCCTACCAGTGCTCTGTGGGCTTACAGTCTGGAAAAACCCCATATAAAAAACGATAGGAGAGAGAGAGAGAGACTGCGATGAATGGATAGGTATGACCACCAAAGAGATAGGATAGGGATAAGGGGGCTGTAGCTAGAAGTGGTTGGTCGGGGCGCTACACAGCATAGACAACAGTGGGAAAGGGATGGGAGGAACGGGATGTCTAGTCGTGGTGGTGGTGCGGGTCATGCATACAGTGAATGGGGAGAGAAACTTCGCACAAAAGTAGGGTATCCTATGGTTAGGAATACAAGTGGTATAGCATTGGGAGAGCGCCTGTAGTGTGGGCTATAGAGCGCAGGGTTTTTCCCAAACTCACGTAAAATACACGACAACACCACCAGTGAGTGGAGTGTATGTGCGCTGAGCACTGGTAGCTCTATGAGACACTCATAGCCTATGCCAGTGGTTGTCCGCGTAATACCTGTGCGCCCGACGACGTGATAACCATTCGTCGCAATCATACAGTAATAGCCATTAGTTTTGTGGCGATTGGCCACCGATTGCAGTGTTATTGTAATCGTTGTGTGAATTGGTGTTTGTTTTGGTAGTGATTATCATCCGCTCACGAGTGTCACTACGTCGAGCAGTGTGTGTGTGAGTCACACGCACAGACCTCACCACAACTGGTCCAACCATATCCACTGTCTGTTTGTGTTCATTGTCTTAAGTGGTGGTGTGAATGACGCTTAAGATATACAGTATATCACCAATGATTTGATTGAATAAACGCTTAATTATTACAACTATTTATTTATTATGACATATATTTTTAACTAATTATTAATTAATTAATTATTACTATTACTGATAATGTTGTGAGACGTGCTTGACACAAATTATTATATATATTTTTAATTAATTATTAACTATTATTATTATTATTATTACCACAACTGTTGATAATATATATACAAACAGTTGTCAGAAATTGACACAAATTTTCTTATTATTGGATACCATTTGAAGATAATATTTAAGACACGAATGGCTGACAATCGGACAAAACGGTCAGCGACTAAGTCAACGGCTCAGCCAATGGCCGCCAAATCGGACACTCAAAAGTGGAATATTCCTCCACAGCAGCGGCCATTGTCGTCGTCATCATCGACCACACCATCAGCACCACTGATAAGTTCAAAGACATCGGCGGCCATCGATGCGCTGTTCGACTCGGGATACGACTCGCAAACGGTGAGCAAGTCGTCCATCGACTTCGACGCCGACTTCGACAGCAAGTGTGTGATATCGGACGCCAAGAGCACGTCCTCCATGTCGGCCACCACTACCACATCGGTGGCCGATATCGACCGCAAGAGCGCTGAGCACAAGTGGTCCGATTCGGGCGTTTCCATCGCCACTGATTCGGGACTCAATTTGGACGAAGAGTTCGCCGATCAGAGCGCATATGATGGCGATGACAGCGCCGGTGGTCTCGTTGGTAGGAGTGGTGGTGCGGTGTCGCTGAGGGAGGCGTTCACCCCCGACCAGGACGGCGATACGTACCTACACCTGGCTATCATACAGGGGTTGGCCGACGTGGCCTACGCTCTCATACGTATGGCGCCCGACCCGGACTTCCTGGACGCCACCAATCATTTATCGCAGGTATGTTGCGGTGATTATGTGGACATAAGAGGTTGTGGTGACTGTTTTGTGGTCACCATTCAGATGATGGACACGTTTTTAGTGTAGTTTTTGTGATTTGTAGTGAACTTGTGTTTCAGAAATAGTGTACTTTTCTCATAAGTTTTTGTGTGTTTTTTGTTTCATTCAATTCATAGGTTTTGTAGGCATAGTATTGAATCTGAATTTATTATTTTTTTAAAATATTAATCAGCAAGGGTAGTTGTACAGTACAGTGAAAATTAATTAGACTGCAATTAAAGGTTGAATAAACGTATGTATTTGTTGGTCTATTTTAAGTTTAATCAAGGTACTTGTTTTATGCTGATTTAGTGGATAATTTTTAGGATTAATGTTAAAACGATTTTTTTTAAAGAAAATATATGAACTTTTTATGCATTTTTATTAATTTATATTTTTTATGGCCCTATCCGTAGACACCATTACATTTGGCGGCCCTCACGGGACAGTCGCATATCGTGCGCCGACTGGTCATAAGCGGGGCGACCGTCGACTTGCGGGACAGACACGGGAACACAGCCCTACATATAGCGTGCGCGCAGTCCGACTACACCGCCGTTTGTCAACTGATATCACCGATTAGGGACCGGGAGCTGCACTCGGCCCATGTGGTCAACTACACAGTCGACAGTCAACACCTGCCCGTCCACTACTTAGAGCTCCGCAATTATGAAGGTTTGTGTGGCTTTTTAGGCATCCATTTCCCCGTATTTTTGTGATTAATTGTGTGTTTATAGAAAATAGGATTTTTTTCTAATGATTATTATTATCTGTCAATCAATTTCTTTTGAATGCAAAAGTTTATTGTTATTTAAGTGTTCAATATTAGTGGCGATAATATCAGTGAAAAGTTTTGTTTGTGTGTGTTTTTAATGTAAAGATCTAATCTCTAAATGCATTAATATTTTAGACAATAATTTATTTGTCGAAAACATTTTGCATTGAATTAATACTTCAGAGAAAACACGAATCCATTAAATGTTAGGAATTTTTTAGTTTTCTCCGAAAACTCGCTTTTTTATTATTATTTCTGGTTTTTCACAGAAATTTTTTATTTGTCAGTCAAACGTAAATTAATTTAAATACTTTACAATTATGTAATTATGTATTTATATGAGAGACTGCGAAAATGTTTGTGTGTTTTGTTTATTAAGTGATTAAATGTTGCGTTTTTTAATATTGGATTTTTAATCTCCAAACGATGGTCTACTGACCCAGAAATGTGTCGCAAAAACCATGTATTTATCAGTGGTTTTGAGTGGAAAAAACTTTTTCAAAGTCTTTGATATGTTTTAGGACTGGTATTGAATAGCTAACCGCCCCGTGCCATGAATGGTGTTTTGGATATACACTGTATATCGTACAGTATAGGAGTTTAATTGTGTAGTTGTTTGGTTTTCCCGTGTATTTTGCATTCAATTTTCAATATCAGTCACTAGTTTCTAGCTCTTGATATTGAAGTGTGTTTTTACACTCAATTGTGTTGTTGTTTAGCGTTTCAGTTTGCCTTTCAGTGTGTAGTAAACTGTTTGTGTGTTGTTTTTGCTGTGTATTTGCAATCGATATGAAATTGTTATTAATTGTTGTTTTCATATGACTTGCAGGCGAAACGAGTCTTCATTTGGCGGCGTATCATAAAAACAAAAATATTATTGAATTACTCGTCAAATGCGGGGTCGATGTCAACGCACAGGTAGTCAACCTTTCGTACGCTCTATTGTGTGGTAGTATTAGCGGTGAATGGGTTTTGTGGTGGGTTTCAGGTGTTTAGGGAATTATGTAATTATAAATTCATGCATTGATTGGTATTTTTTATTATGTTATTACAATGTATAAGAATTGGGGGAAAAGTTTTCTAGCGTTAAGGCTTTGTTTAAGAATTTATAAATAATTTTTATTTATTGTTAAATACTATTAAGACATTCATATTTAGGATATGTTTTGTGCAGTTATTTATAGTTAGTATTGTTTTTCACTTATTATTATCTAATAGTATGTATCTCTCTCTCTCTCTCTCTCTCTCTCTCTCATACACACACACACACACACACACACACACACACACACTCACTCACTCACTAAT